GTTTCATGAATATTTCAGAATTTTTTTTGGTGATTTCACACATTATTCCAAAATAATAGAGTATCTGAGATAGTTTTACATGTGTTATATAATAGTTTAGTTTTTTAATAATTTAGATAGACATTTTTTGTTTACTCAAGTTGCTCTTCCTATAAATTGTTAAATTGTTAAATAATATTTAGTATTAGTTCCACTATTTCAGTGCATAAATTTACACATAATATTTAGTATTAGTTCATAAATATATTTAAATATCATTTACTCGGCATTGTACAATTTATCTATCAATTATAGTATAAGTGTATAACTAATGGTGAGGACAAAAAAAAATTAGAATGATAGAGAAATTTATATTATTTAGTCATTAAAATTAGGCCATATTTGGTTGGCGTAGACCATATATTCTGGAACTACGAGTGGACAAAACATGGTTTTTCCTTCTATTCACGACAGAATACTTCTCAAAAGCATTACTAGTAAAACTTTTTGTTAAACCTTATTTTGCAATGTTCATAGGACATTTTTTTCTATCTACAACTCAAAATAATATTTTCATCAAGTATTTTTTTAAATTATTTTAATTAATTGTTTTATCTCATAACACCTTTTACAACTCACCATGATTTTTCTATTGTGATTAAAAACCAAATTTTACGTTTAAAATCTTGTGAAATTATTATTATTCTCCCCCTATATATATTCTTGAATGCTGCGTGACTGCTTATGGTGCTTTGGAATCCTACTTAGCGAAGAATCATGCTTCGTAATTAGGTTTGGACAAATAATATTAATATATTAATAATTAATAATCTAGGTTCGGACATTTCATAAATATTATTTAACTAACTTAGGTATTTTCATATCACTTTTACTAATATAACCCTTGAATTCTTTGTAATTTTACATAGTGAGACACTAAGCGACTAATATCCCCGACTTTTGATTTGCTTCCTTCAATTAACTCATCAATTGTAAATGTAATTTAAAATTTGATAACTTTTGTATTTTTTATCGGTTTTACATATATAATATACCAAATTAATCATCTTTTGATGATCTTCGATTTGACATCCATATTGTATATATGAAATAAACAAATTATATTTAACTTTATAATAAATAATAATATTTATTAAAATTCATTAAAAAAAATTAAATTATTTCTCAATTAATATATTTATATTTAATGTATTTATATGTTGTAAGTTAAAAAAATTATTATAATATAAAACAAGTAAATCGCACAGGGCTAGTCCCGCTTTTTAAAGGCCTTGCAAGAGTTTTCCACAACCACTGAGTTAAAAAGGGCTTCTTTGATTGAATTTGGCTCAGAGCATCCGCATCGCCCCATTTTTTCTTATCATTTAAACGGAAGAAGGGGCGTTAATGGGTTGTGGGGCGTTCATTAAATGCGGGCCCCTCCTCCGCTGTTCAGACTCTTGAACGCCATTCACTTCTTTTTTTTATTTTTTATTTTTTGCTTTTTGTTGTTTTAACTTTTAAATACTAATTTAATTGTGTTTTTTTATTTATCAAAATTATTAACTTATCTTTTTTTCTTTTTTATTTTTATATTTAATTCAAATATTATCTAGATCATATTTCCCAATATGTATCAATTATTAACATTTGTCATCATCTCATTCTTTTTATATATATAATATAAATACACTACGATTGTATAATTCTCTTGCATCGTCAACTTCGCGCCGATTTAGTTGAGCATATTTAGACTCGTTTTGCCAACTGAAAAAGTTATTTTTTTTTGTAATTGTACTATGTTTTTCTTGTGTAATCTTAATTTATGTTATTTTTTTGGTCTTGTAGTGTTTTTTTTATTTTCATGTATTTAAAATTTATTGTTATAATTTAAAAGTATTAAAATTTATTTTTATTGTGGATAGAATATAAAAAATTATATTGAATGAGTGGATAATGGGTCTCACATATGTATTTAAATGAATGATTATGAATGTGGGTGTGTGTTTAAATAGAGAGAGATTTAAATAGAAAAATGATGTTGATGAGAGAGAGTGTAACTTTTTGATTGAATGAATGGAAAAAATGTTAAACCAATGTGGATGCCCTCATACTTTTTTACTTATATAAAGAATAGAAGATGATTGATCTGCTAATAAAAAATGTCATACTAAATATATAATAATATATATATATATTTATAAAAAGTATTTAATTTTTCAACTACTTTTTCTCATTAATTTTATAAATTAAGAAAAAAAATTGATAAACACCCGTATAATACACGGGCGTTGTACTAGTTATTTTTATAAAGCACATATTATTTGTTAAAAAAATTGTATATATAAATATATAATACACATCACAGTGCCATAGTAGATGATTTAAATTTCAACCGATCAAAATGCTAATGATTTAAATTTGAATACACCTATGCGTTTGACTAAATGTCTGAATGATTTAAAACTGAGCCCATAAAAAATTATTTATTTTTAAACACACCAGAAATTTTATGTAATTTTTATTTATAAATATATTGAAAGTGGTATTTAATGGCTATTATATAAACTATTTTAATATATTTGCAATGAATAAAAGTTTGAATGAATCATTTGTAATGTTATTCATAATGTTTGTGACTTATGAGACACAAACAAATAACTCAATACATATTTGCCAGAGGGCGGCTTAATAATTTTTTAGACTTAACGTTGATTAAAAGAGGTAGAAAATAGATAATAACATTATTACTTGTTATACTTAAACAAACAAGGTTGTGAAAATAACTCATTTAATATCTTTGTTCTGTGCATATCACGAGATATGTACTAGTGCCCAAATTATAAGACATATTTTGGCGAAATTTCAAAATTGGTCATATATTTGGTCACTGTCCAAAAAACCACCCATATATTGACCACTTTCAATTTAGGTCATATAATTTGTCGATTCCATCAATTTTGGTCCTTTTTATTCGGACCTTGATTAAAAAGTGACGTGGCATGACGTGTCAGTTTTTTTAAGTTACATGGCGTCATTATAATCAACGTGGCACGTCAATTTTGGTCCTATAATTTGTCAATTTCATCAATTTTGGTCCTTTTTTCATGCCACGTCACTTTTTAATCCAGGGTACGGACAAAAAAGGCCAAAAATTGATAAAATCGACAAATTATAGGACCTAAACTGAAAGTGGTCAATATAAGGGTGGTTTTTTGGACAGTGACTAAATTATAAGATCAATTTTGAATTTTTGACGACATATTTTACATTTAGGACTCTACAAA